GTTTGTGAGACAGATAAGAGACAGGAAATACCAGCAAGCAGGGCAAGTGATCGGTTCGGCCCAAACAGCAGAGCTGACAGCAGTGGTAATGGCACTTGCTGACGCAAGCAAACTCAAGCTGAGAGCAGTGAGATTGGTTACAGACTCCAAGTACGTGAAGGATGGTTTAGATGAGCATCTGCCGTTCTGGGAAGTTAGAGATTTTCAAAAGACTGATGGGGAAAAGCTTGAGCATGCTGATTTGTGGACACTTATCTCGTGCTACTTGAAGAAATTAAAAATAGTGGTAACACATGTGAACAGTCATACAGGAGGTGTAGGAGCAGATGAGCTGGGAAATGCAGAGGTGGATGAACTGGTGCAGGCTCGAGGTTTGTTCCTACCTACGGCGTTCTTACAGAATAGAACTCCCGCAGGTGATGAAGAGCTAGTCATCCATGCTCATGAGGTGTATGGACATGTAGGAGCGCAGCGCTTACGTGAGATTTTCAAAAAGGAAAAGATTCATGTACCTAAATTAAGAGAACTAACAGCACAAGTGAAAGCTAAATGTGAGCAGTGTAAATTAAAAGGAGGTGCTCAGCCAGTACATTATGACCAACTGCCCATCACGTGTGAAGAACCGGGTGTGCATTTCAGCACAGATGTAGGAGAGTGTGCAACTAGAGGAGTAAAAGGGCATAAGTTCTTTTTAGTAATAAAAGATAATGGTCCAGGAGATCAGAGCAAAGTGGTACCCCTAAAACGAGTAACAGGTAACACGGTGAGCATGTCTTTATCTCTACACCTGCCCCTGACCTGTAAAACACTTCTTTCAGATGGAGGGCCTGAATTTAAAAATAACAAAGTTGCTTGTCTGCTGGAGTCAAGGGGTATACAACACGTTTTTTTCTATCCCATATGAATCCCACACAAACGGAGTTGCAGAAAGAGCAGTTAGGATGGTAAAAAATCATATTCTTACCAACCTAGACTCCCACTGGGACACTCCCGAGGGAATTTCAGAACTGAATGTCATTCTAAATAGGATCAAACTGAAACGAGCAGAGAACGACACTAACCCGGAACCCGTTTCTGTGTTACAGAAGGGGCAAACCATTTGGGTCAAACGGGGACCAAACCAGAAGGGAAATTGCATTAAACATAACGTGAGTGGACCGCATCAAATACACAACGTAACAGGAAACGTGGTTGTAACTGAGACTGGCATGCGCGTTCATCCTCATCAAGTTATAAGATAACTTCTCATAAAATTACTTGATTGAAAGCCATGGCTGGATTAAAACCTAGTACTGGAATGGATTGCTCGAACCTGGTTAATTCCGGCCTGATCATGGTGTCAAGAGGAGGGTCTGTCGCATCCTGTAAGGTGGCCATGTTTCCTAGTTTCACAACTTCCCCAACTGGTTACCGATACGCTCAGTGGAGGGGTTGGATTCCGGGAACATGTATTATGTGTGGAAACCATTGCTCCTTAATTAGGTGGTCGGGGCTCCGGGAGGAGAAGCCGTGCTACCTGGAAAGGGGCGCTGACTTGCATCTGGGGGCATTGGAACTCTCTGCCCCAATTAAGATTTGTTTTTGCAGAAGCTGCTTGAGACATGAGCCTGGCATCCGCTCATGGCAGGTGTGTGAGTGCACACATGGAGGCGAAAGCAAAGAAGGTTGCTGCTTTATAAGACATGGCATTTTGACTACCTGCTTACCTATATGCGAGCCCAGCCTGTTCTATGTGGGAGAGCTGCTCAGGGACCCTAGCCAGGTGAAAACAGTTAGGGACTTGTGGGTGGAAGCTTACCCATTCATCATCAAGCATAAGACTAGAGAAAGGGGACTGGAGACGATTCAGGCTCAGTCCCGCTTCAAGTCTATTAAGAGTTTGATCTTGGGACAGCAGTTTGGGACCCTGGCTAATGCATGGGAAGCAGGTACACAACTGGGGTTGAGCCGAGAATATAAAGATGAGAGGTGGGGCACCTATCTGGCAGGTGCACTTGACTGGCACACAGGTTTGTCCATGCAGGAGCCTAGAGGAATGTGTAAACGGGTGACCTCATGTCTGGTTGAGCTAAAGAGCCTTGGACCAGAGGCAGAGCGTGCTTTCATGCCTTATCAGCTGACATTGATAGAGGCGATAGACCCGTCTGGTCACATTTGCGGCTCAGCTGTTAACATTGCCACCACCCGAAAAGGAGCAGATTATTGGCCGAAGACTTACGGGACGGCGTATACTAGGATATCACGTAGGCGGGTCCCAGGTCTGACACGGGTTAATTAGAGTAGGGCACTTTCACTTCCTGCTGATTTTTATGCTTCTGTTTTGCAGATGTTCTCTTCTCAGGAGCATAAAGGGGATAGCAGCAGGAAGCGGAAGGTTGTCAGGTATGCATCAGCTCCGGCTGGAGTTGATCCCGAAGACACACAGAGAAATGTAAATAATCCAAAAGGAAAGAATTGGATGAAAGACTGGACCAGATGGGCCTCCTTCATCCTATTCGAAATAAGCATCATAATATTGTGTATAACAATAGTGTATGGAGTACATGTATATCTTAGAACATATCATGTGTCCTCGGTAGCCTATAACATAACTCATGGGCAACCGCAACAATTAAGAGGACGTTGGAACATGTCCAAAATAAGGCTGCGATGGCCTAAGGAAGACTTTAATGAGAATATAACCACCTGCATGATAGCAGAACAGATTGGATTCAAGATTTGCAGTGTAACAGGGAACAGAACCGGCTGCCTGCGCTTGTCCTGTGGGGAGGATCATGCAGGGGACTCGGTTGTGGCTACACCCTCTGTGACCGCGCCTTCTGCAACAGAACAGGAAGTTGGAAATGTCCCGATGAACAATGAGACCCACCCATGGGCAGAGTATATGTCCATCATGCTGGATCAGACAGGATCAACAGAGCCTAATCAGTCCTGTCAGGTAGTATTAAGAAAGAAGAAAATCTTGGATCAAACTTCAGGTGAAGTAGAGCTGTGGGTGTACAAATACTGTCTTAAAGATGATTTAGACAAAGGACACAACTTCACTACATATAAAGTAATAAAAATAGAGAAATGGTGGCCGCATAGAATTGAATATGGGTGCTTCCAAACCAGGGACAGCAGCCTTAGTTCCTGGCAAACAGGAAACGTTACGTACTGGTATCAAAGGATGTCGAAGGGGAGGGAGAAAAGGGACAATTGTCCTACCCCCCCTCCTAATACTACACTGAAATATGATTCTTTATGTGTAGTAGAGGAAAGTCACATGTGGCAGAATGTAAAAGATAATGTGATTAAATGGTTATTAAGAGTGCCCCATACAGTAACTGGTCCCATGGAAGAGACAGAGGAAGGTGAAGAAACTGTTCCTCTCTTTGTGGAACCCGGGGGGAGAAACAAGAGGTCTGCCTCACAGGATCTAGCTCGACTTTTACGAAAAGGTCACAGTGAGTACGCGAATTACACAGGATATCAAAATTATGTAATTTCCATTAATAGTACATATTTTAATTGGACCTTTTTCAGCCTTCACAATGAAGTGCGCCTTCAGCCACAGGGCTGGGAGCTGCATAAGGTAATACACACTCTTTATACTGAATGGATATATCAGGTTCCTAATTTCAAACATCCAGGCGTAGTGCAATGGATGAAGAAGAATCAATCTGATCCCACAAATTTAGACACAGGGTTCCATGCATGGAACGAAGAAACCAGGAGGTGTTTAACTAAAAGGGCTAACGATAGTTCTTTATGGCAAGGTGGAGAACCACTTAGACTAAGAATAACAGGGACATATTATCAGAAAGGGACAGCCACTCCTGATGATAAAATCGAGCCTGATTCCATATTCGAAGCAGTAAATGAAATGATTAGACCAAGCCACAAGAAAGATTTTTATCACAGTCCGACCTGGGCAAGAAATTACACATTAATGCTTGAAGGATGTCAGGCTGAAGTCTGTAACAACACTAAGGGGTTAACTAGAAGGATGTGTATTTTTTGGTATTCACAATTATATGGATTAACGGTAGGGGGTTTGCGTCCTGATACATTAGGAGATCGGGAATTTTTTAAGCCAAGACCCCCTTATTTAAATATAGCTACTTTAGGAACTGGAGAATTATGCTATAAAGTCTTACGTGGATATATGCAAGGAAATATACCAGAAGATTATAGGTATTATAGAAAAGGTATGTATGAGACGTATCCTATGACGTACTGGTATGGGGAGGGATATAATAAGCAAAAATATGATTATTATCCCCAGGACACACGGATTGAAGCAGAGACCTTTGAAAGAAAATTAATAGGAACAAAAACGCTAGTGTTGGAAGATGGACAGCTCAGAGTTAAGACGAATTGGTTTACAGTAGATAAGACAAATACGTGGGAAAAGAATAATACGAAAACGGGAAATGGCCTTTTAGATCGCATAATGATTATGGGTGATAAGGTTGGAGACTTGGTGCCGCCTGGGTTTACGGCCCCTGGAACAACTAAGTGGGGCGCTTTTAGTTTAGTGAACTTTAATTACTTTAACGGATTAGGAATAGATCATCATGTGTGCTTTAATGAGCCCAGAATAGGGAAGAATCCTCAACCTGAAAGATATACAATTGACCCTGACACGCCCAAAGAATTTCCTAATTTCAGGGATTATTCAAACTGGGACCTACGGAGCGGATATTGCTCTCCATTCAGACGATCTCTTGACCAACAGGAAGCGGAGTGTTTTGACTACTTTGCATATGGGATTAACGGCACGCTAAGAGGAGTAAGCTTGATTGTACGAGGAGTTGGTGAAATATTATCTGACAGTGTGGTACAGGTCTCAAATAATGTTATACAAGGAACAAGTCATTCGATTGAGACGGTCGTAAGAGGGGTACGTGATAATATAATTGCTCCAGTCTGGGACGCGTTGTTTTGGCCTCTGTGCACACTTGGATTAATGGCAGGAGTGATAGTTTTATTGATAGGCATGATTTTGGCCTGCAAGCATGAGAAGTGGCAGCTGAGAGGGAGCAAGCTACTTAGAGATAAGGGACCTGGTCAGCAGGAGAATGACAGACCAGCAGGAAAGGCAGGAAGTAATGACATCATTCCTTCTTCAGTGGGTTCTATTTAATACAGGGGGTGCAGCGCTGACAGCTCCAGCCTGGTCCTGACCTGTCAGTTTGAACAGCTACTCTGGTAAGCAGCAAGGATGAGCCAGCAGTTTCAGTCAGAGCAAAAACCGATTGTAGTGGCTGGATATGAGGTATGTCACATCCTTAAGATTACCTTTATGCTTTTCTTTTTACTGTTAGCTCAGATTAGAGACATCAATGTTAGAAAATTATTAATATACGCAAGCATCTTTGCATTTATGAATGTGACCAGATGGTTGAATAATGATTTTATTACTAGTGCAAGCTTGTTACCATGGTTGTACAGTGATGAAATGCCAACAAGTTTAGTAATAGGAGGAGTGATTATTTGTTTGCTTACGGCAACGGGGGAAAGCTTAGCGTGGTGTATGAAAGCTCACCTGACTATTATTGCAGCCTGTACAGATTTTTTTATCATAATCACGGGCCTTTGTGCAGTGATGACGTTGTTTTACAGTTCACAGGCTGAGTGAGGAAGATATAAGTCTATGGTTATACTGGTTGCTCTTGTGGGCTTCAGTGTGGAAATACTCTCTTGGTTTTGCCAGGACGGTGCACTAATTCTGTGGGGCGTAATTATGTTTATTCTAGGTGGACCCGGACATGCAGCGCATTTTAAAGGGACTAATCCCAGCTGCAGATGCACCAGTGCCTATGTCCAGGGATACCGTGACTTATGTGTGCACGGTGAAACTCAGGGGACGAGAGATGGGCCCGCTGAAAACGATCGCTCTTCAATGTGAGCATTCTGCAATGTTTGAACAATGCATGTGTTGCAGGCTTGTTGCGGAAACTCGGACCACATGGAGACGGAACTCCCAGGGTCGTTTGTTGAGGAAACAGACGTACTAATCCTAACTTCACCTGATATTCAAGAGCTTTTCAGGGAGAGCCACGAGGAGATGCTGACAACGGTGTGTCCAGTCGCCGTGGCTGAAGATGAAGCGGATTTGAACAAAGATTGCCAAACGAAGGAGGCTGTATTAGCAATAAGAACAGCTTCAACTCAAGATCCTAACCCTAATAATGTGTACATAATCCCTATGATTGCTTGTGATAAAGTGCAAGAAGAAACGTCCTCCCCTGTTCAGCGGACCTCAAGAGGAGAGCTGAAGTGGAAGATCAAGTTTGAAAGAGGATGTTATTACATGGGCCAGAGCAAGCCCTTAGATTGCTATCAGTTCATGAATATGTTGTCTGTGAAGAACGGATGGTTTGATCCTGAGATCAAAGTCTCTTATGGGACAGCTCCTCTGTTAGAAATGAGAAGTAATCCCCTGGTGTTTAGCGAAAGTTTTCCACGAGGATTGCTGGGGAAGCTCCCGTCTGGGGAACATCAGGTCACGGACCTGTCGCTGTTTTACCTTGGAGAAGAGGTTCCAGGTGAGAGGAAGAAGTTTCGTGGTTATATTACTACCAGCAAAGGTACCCTGTGCATGCCGATTTCTGACGATGGCATAATGATGAGGAGAAGAATCGATGTGGAGGCTACGGTTCAAGCTCTGCGTTTCCAGCCAGATCCGGATAAGATGGATACCAAGTTCCTGAAGGCTTATGTGTTCACATTAAAACATTATGGTCCCCTACCACGATTTAACTCGCAAAGAGGATGTCGCATGCTCCCGAAGATCAGAGCCACAGACAGAAGTGGCAAAGGAAGAGGACACAACGGGAGGGGCCACATGGAGAGCAAAGATAAGCGGAGCCCAGCGGAGCCTGCTGATGCGAGTGAAATCGAGGCAGGTGAAGACAGGAAGGGAGCCAACTGAAGAAAGCACCACAGGATGTGAAGCCCCTTTGAAGACAGCTCGAGCTTTAGAAGGATCTGAAACTGTCCTACAAATGATAAATGATTACTTTGTTTTACTATCTTGTGACGCAGATGACTAAAGATTACATTGTTTAGTTGTCTTAAAGTTAAATCATATATACGTCACTCTGAAAAAGTGCTTGTAACATGAAAATGCTAAACAATGGAAAATGCTTTGCTTAGCAGTTTTTAGAACATATATAAGAACAAGTTAGAAGTAGAAGGACGAGAGCACGCACGTATGTATGCATGCACGTACGCACGCAGCGCGAGGTCACGGCAACGAGAGACGGAGAGTCTACAGTAGCTGTTTTTCCTCTTAGATAGTTAGACGCAGCATACTCATAAGAGGATATTTAATCTTGGATTTACCCTTTTATATCTTTTGAATTTTGGAATAAACTTTTTTGAAAAAGGATTCTCATTCATTGGATTTTAAGGGACAATTTGATCTCTTTGAGTGGGAGCTCCGGCCCTGGCCTAACAGGAGTGGAGGTAAGCCACCTTATTGCTTGTACCTGCTTCACAGGACTTGTTTTTCAGGGTGTGACAGATTAATAAAAGATACCTTAGGCTAATGGGAGTTTCATCTCCCCCTCTCTCTTGAGTATCGGGACATGCCTAAGGGTGATAAGCCATGATAGTTCGTTGGTTCAAACAGGCTCTTTTTGCACCAAAAAAGTCTCTGTTAAGCGTGGGAAGGAACCATTTCAAAGGGTGGATTAATTAGATTAATTGATAAATCTATGTTAGCCTGATCAACTAACTAGTAATCATTTTCTAGTTACCACCGCCCACTTTGCTGACGGAGACGCAAATTAACCCTGATAGGACCCAAATAATAGTCAGTAAGATTGGCCAACTCTGAACTACCGCCTTAGTATCCAAAACCACTGGATAACAGGATTTAAAGGGGAGTGAATTAATACAGGAGAACAAGTACGGCAATTCCATTCCAACCTTTAAAATAGGAACAAGTTTTAATTGAGAAAGTCCATCCCAGGGTCTGATACAATAATACTCACCACGGCCTCAACCTCCCTGAGAAAAGAGCGTAACTCGAGGATCTAACGGAACCTCTTAAAGGGCACGCTCGCATCAGCATTGTGTCTCCTGTGAGTGACGGCTATGGATTATGAATCTGGATTAATAAAGGTTAAAGACTTCCTTAGTAAAAAGACTTTAGCTAATTTCTTCCAAACACTGTTTTGTTTCCTTGAAAGAATGGGAAATCTGCGCCCTCTGCTGGCGATAAACAGAACACCACTTTACCCTCTACAAGGACTGCATAGAACAGTAATTCTTAGGTTGTCAGAAAATATATGTTATTTGTTGGAAAATATGTGTTCTTTTAAATATGCTGAGGATTTTATTTTGAAGGTTTCCAGTGGTCTTTGTAAATTTAAACCATCCTCGTCCCATATGACTAAGTGTGTCTATTACGTCCCCCGGCTCTCTAAGAGAGATGAGGAGGGGAGTAATAAAAATGGTGTGTGGATTAAATAATAACAAAGTGTAGTGTAGCTAAAAAACAAGGAATTTATTACAAAATGAATACTTACAACCTTAAAAGAAATATCTATATACAAAACACAAAGGAGCTTATCTATAAAACGAAGGGAAGAACGGAAAACACCAACCCAAAAGGGGATGGGAATAAACAACGAGACTAAAAAGAGCGAGGGTTATCCAAAGTCAAAATCTAAAGCCGGTCCGAAGTCAAGTTACCAAATATTCAAATCCTAAATCCAAATCCCAAAATGAGTCAAATACCAAAGACGAACGAGAAAAATACTAAGCCAAGCACACGAGAAGAGAATAGCATGAACTCCTAAGAGTCCATACTACCCTGTAGCTTCTCTCTGAATGAGGGCAAGAGGGCAGCTTTTAACAGCTGATCCATGATTATGAATAATCATAAACACCTGTTCACAGTGAGACAGGCGAAGCAGAAGGCCGCTGAGGCCATCCTGTGGCCAAAAAGGGGCCCTGCACATAACAGTGTCAATCTGAAGGGTGAAGCTTTATTTTATTTTGTTTTCAGTTATTGAGTTCTGGCTGGCTAACAGACTTCTAGCAATTCTGTATTTCAACAATAGAATATATTTAGGTGCTGTATTCATGACCACAGCCTAAAGCAGTGATACAACTGTGACTAACGGTTCTCTATCAAACATTTTAGTTGTCATCTCTGGCATTACTGTTTGGAAAACAGAGGGAGGATGCACAAGCATAACAGAAAGCAAAATTTGTTATTGAGGAGGAAGCAGTTGCTGGTAAGCCTCTGAGCCGTGCAGCACTTGTTCCTTTTCTGCATGAAACACACTTCATTACAAAAGCCAAACCACTCTTAAATCTTGAGCTGATATAATCGGTTTAATTGTTTTCTGCCCTTGTGTGTTTGCTTTTGTCTTTCTTTTCCTTTTGACCCCTCGTTCATCGTTTGTGACATCTGTCCTCTAGATATTTGGGGCACAGTTGTGATCTGCAATCTGTAGATCTAACCTACCTTCCCTGGAAGGCAGTCAAATTCATCCTTTTTCCCAAATTGTGCTTATCAGATGGAGGAACAGCATCCTCCATAAAGTAGTTAATTCATGCTGCCTGACCATAGCATTTTTTCTACTTGGCTGTACCTGTACCTAGCTTCCATACTCTCACAAAGCTTCCTTCCCTGATGTTTGGCACTCTTGCACCACGTTTTGCATCTGCGTATTTCTTTGCAGCTTGCTGTGTGTTGCTGACACGAGAGCGTAACTCCTTGTTAGCCTGGGATGTCAGTGATGGAGCAGATATCCTACATTCACTCAATAAGCGCACGCTGAGCCAACTCCGGCGCACCGTCAGGCTGAAGGCAGAAATGAGCGCTGCCTCCTCCGTGATAAAAACTTTTAAGAGGTTCCAGGTCAAATTAAGATATTAGCTTCTGTTTTGGGATGACGTATTAAAGGAGAGAGCTCTGGCCGCACAGGTTAAACGTTCCTGCTTAAAGAAAACCGTAAAATTGCATTTTTTATGTGCTACCTAGGCACTCTAAATATATATATATATATATATATAGAGAGAGAGCCATGCCCTGATGTGGGGGCTGGGGGGTGCGTCGACATGGTCGGGACATAGAAGTGGGTGTGCGTCTAAATAAGTTTGGGAACCGCTGAGAGGACAGATGTCACAAACGATGAACGAGGGGTCAAAGGGAAAAGAAAGACAAAAACAAACACACAAGGGCAGAAACCAATAAAACCGGTTAAAGAAAAAATCAGCTCAAGATTTAAGAGTGGTTTGGCTTTTGTAATGATGTGCGTTTCATTCAAAAAAGGAACAAGTGCTGCACGGCTCAGAGGCTTACCAGCAACTGCTTCCTCCTTAATAACAAATTTTGCTTTCTGTTGTTATGCTTGTGCATCCTCCCTCCGTTTTCTAAACTGTAATGCCAGAGATGACAACTAAAATGTTTGATAGAGAACTGCTAGTCAGTTTCATCTCTGCTTTAGGCTGTGGTCATGAATACAGCACCTAAATATATTCTATAGTGTTGAAATACAGAATTGCTAGAAGTCTGTTAGCCAGCAAGAACACAATAACTGAAAACATAAAATAAAGCTTCACCCTTTAAATCGACACACTTAAGTCATATGGAACGAGGATGGTTTCAATTTAAAAAGACCACAGGAAACCTTCAAAATAAAATCCTTAGCATAAATAAAAGAACACATATTTTCCAACAAATAACATATTTTCTGACAACCTAAGGATTAGTGTTCTATGCAGCTGGTCGACCATGCTACTATGAAGACATCTCCCCATAAGCTTTTCTGCATTAATTTTAGGTCAGAAAATGCTAAATCACCTTGGAAAAACATCGTGTTCCCAGTGTTTCTATTATTTTCCGACGTGTATACACTGTTAGTTAACCCTAACCCTATACACTGAAGTCAGCGGGAGGATTTTCCTTACAATCCTCTGAAGGGTCCGCCCTTCGCTGACTGATACAAGGATGCAACACTCCAAATTACCAAAGGGGACCACCCCTCTAACTCCAAGTTACCCAATCTGTGTACACATACATATTTATGCCCAATAAGTCATTTGGATTTTAATCTCACCAGATCAATCACCTCAGGGAGACTGCATCTCCCACAAATACACACCCTACTGTTCTCACAGTCTCACGAACATGATGGTTTGGGAAGGAAAGCAAAAACTCAACAAAAATTAGCTATTTATAAAACCCCAAACCAAAAATGGACATTACAGCTGATATGTCCTTAATGTATACTAATGAAACCTTCACACAAATTACACTGCATTTTTACAAACGGGAGCAGCGAGACAGCCGCATTGCTGTTAGTCAGTCAGAGGCAAGATGTTCCTACATCATGATTAGGGCTGCAACTAACGATTATTTTCATAATCGATTAATCTGTCGATTATTTTTTCGATTAATCGGTTTGTTATTGTTTAGCTATTTAACCTATACAAGTGATGGATGCATTTCAGTTAAGAAAAAAAAAACATAAGAGAATTGTGCAGTTGACTGCAATCTATTTTATTGCACATGAACACAGTCAGCAGTATAAAATGAGCTAAACAGTGCAAAATATCAGTCCAGAATAATTTTTTTGCATTAGCTGGAAGCCTGCTCCTTCCACCATTGATAGTGGCCTCATGTCTTTTACCAGCATGTTTAGAATAGAGTTTGTAAGTGGTATGAATTGCTGGGGGGTGAGTGTCTTGTTCCCCATGTAGTTGTCCATCGTTGCTTGTTTTTTTTCTGCATAAGAAACACAAATAGACTGAAATAAGTACACATATAAAATAAAGCAGCACACACACTACAACACTAAATCAATATATTATTTGAATTAATTAACAATATACAGAGATCATTTATTTTGAGGGTTACATTCTACAAAATAGCCCGCAACAGGAGATATTCAGAAAAAAAGTCTAATTTTTTTACTATTAAAAAGCTCTAAGTAAGAAGCTCATGGGGTTTTTACTTTGAGTCGGGAGTGTTTAAATTAGCTAGAAAAATGTGAAAAAAGTTTATTTTGTGTAATACTGTTTAAGAAACATGATAAAAATGTGTTGTGAGGCGTTTTACAGCGTTAGATAGTAAAACAGCCTTTTAATAGTAAAAAAATTACTTTTTCTGAATTTCTCCTATATTTAAAAATTGAAAGCATACAACTATGCCGCGTTATATTCACCTGGACACAGCTCGTCTGTATATTTTTCACCGCGGAGTTGTCCTTTTTTGAATGAGGAACATAGTTATGGGTTTGTGCCGTTTTTCTCTTAACGAGAACATTCTTATAAACAGACGTGCTGAATTTGGCAAGCGCATGATTCACAACACGGAGGAGATTCACGATTGCATCTAGTCAATCAGAAGTAGAACACCGTAGACTGACGCGGCAAAAAAACATGTTTAACATCCACTATAACAAACTCAGCTAAAACACTAAGTCCAGCTTGTTTATTTTATGTTACTTACCGGGCTGGCTCTTCCAAATGACGGCTCACTTGACCGCGGTGCTCTTCCTCTGCTGCATCAGCCCCCACATGCTTTCGTCTCAAATGTTCACTTAGGGACGTCGTGCTTCCTTGCCATGCTAGATGGTTTTTGTATATTTTGCAGGTCACCCGTCTTTTCAAGGCATCTTTAGTGAAGTGCTCCCATACTCGTGAGGTTTTTGTCCGGGGTTTCTCTTCAGTTTTGTCGCTTCTATTTTTCTTCCGTATTTCCTCTTGTTCCGCCATCTCTCACAGCAAGATGAGCGTCAGTAACGTGATACGTCATGAAAACCGAGGGCACTCATTGGCTCATTTCTTCTTCTACGGCTCCACTGGTAGATCAGTGGCTCATTACTGCCACACACTGGCGGCAAATTTAACAGCTTGTAACCGATGTCAGATTGTGGTAAAAATAGACTTTATGCGGTAAAATATGATTATTAAACAACTAATCGATGACTAAAAAAGTTGTTAACTATTTTAATAATCGATTATAATCGATTAAATCGATTAGTTGTTTCAGCTCTAATCATGATTATTAATGAGTCAGACTCCAAATCCTGCCATTTTACACCCACTCTTCTGACTAACCTTTACTTCTTGAAACACAAGAGCTTTTTTTCTACAGAAACGTTCTCACAAGGCATTCATTCATACTGTACCCCAAGAGATTTACTGTAAAATAGACTTTAAAAAATGTATTAAAAAAACTTGACTAAATTTTAACGTAGAAAAAGCTTTAATAAAAGCACACTTGTGAATAAAATCTCAAGTGTGAATTTTCATATAAGAAGTTGAAAGAAAATGTCTGGTTGAATCTCCTACAGAACAAACATGGAAAAGACATTTCACATGTGTTGAGTTCTCATGTGATTAATCAAAGCAACACGCTGTGTGAAACATTTACTACAACTTTTACATTGAAATGGCTTCTCACCTGTGTGAGTTCTCATGTGTGTAGTCAAGGAACTACTGTCACTAAAACATTTACCACAAGTTTTACATGGATATGGCTTCTCACCTGTGTGAGTTCTCATGTGTCTAGTCAAGTGACCACTGTCACTAAAACATTTACCACAAGTTTTACATGGATATGGCTTCTCACCTGTGTGAGTTCTCATGTGTGTAGTCAAGGAACTACTGCGACTAAAACATTTACCACAAGTTTTACATGGATATGGCTTCCCACCTGTGTGAGTTCTCATATGTGTAGTCAAGACACTACAGACACTAAAACATTTACCACAAGTTTTACATGGAAATGGCTTCTCACCTGTGTGAGTTCTCATGTGTTTAGTAAAGGAACCACTGTCACTAAAACATTTACCACAAGTTTTACATGGATATGGCTTCTCACCTGTGTGAGTTCTCATGTGTGTAGTCAAGGAACTACTGACACTAAAACATTTACCACAAGTTTTACATGAATATGGCTTCTCACCTGTATGAGTTCTCATGTGAACATTTAAATAACACTTGTGAATGAAATATTTTCCACAGAGCTCACACGAAAATGGCCTTTCACCTCTGTGAGCCCTCTTCTGCCTTTTAAGCTTTTGACCATTTACACTGTCTCTATGATGATTGCTTTTTTGACGTCTTTTGTTACGTGTCAGTTCTTCATTGCCCTTTGATTCTGAGTTTTTTTTCCTGCATCCACCCTGATCTTGGTTCTCAGCTTCTGTAGAACTCTGACACAAGGGTTGGGTCCTGTTCTGTTCTGGTTCATGGCATTCTGTTTCTTCAGAAGAGGTCTCCATGAAGTTAATATTTTCCTGCTTCAGAAGAAACTGCCCTTCATGCTGTTGGCTACAGAGTTCCTGCTGGACTTTCTTGATCAGTGGAGGTTCTGGTTCCTCCTGGTCCAAACTGGAGGTCGACTGCTGGTTAAAGAGCTGCTGGTCAGTCAGAACCTTCTCTTTTTCCCAAACTTGATGCTGTGGAGGTTCTGGACAGGATAAAAGAAAATGTAGATTAATGTGATAAAAAATAAATCTCATTTTATTTTAATCTGTTCCAAATAAAGATGTTTGGAAAATAATGAGACCTCAGAATAGCTCTTACTTAAAGAAAATAAACATTGAACAACCACAAAGATCTGTTTATGGCCACAGGCTAGGAATGCCCCGTGGCCCCCAGCTGCATTCTGGCGGGACCAATCACAGGTCTCTATTGGGGTTTCAAACCCATAGAGCACTGTGATTGTTCCACAATGGTGCATCAATTACAGCGCTCTTTTGGCTTTGTGGGCCAATCAGGGTGCTCTATTGGTTTGGTGGGTGGGATGATGCGACGTAGGTAAACAAGATGGCTACAGCTTATTTGGAACGACTTTTACATCAATTTTGGACTATTTGAACTTGGGCTTTATTAGAATCAGGAGCAGATAGATGTGTTTAAGTCTTATTTTTAGAAAAATTATGTACTTTTGCCTTCTTCAACAGTGGACTGCCTATTTGACTGACATGCGTTGCAGTGAGTACGTCCCGTTGTTTATTGTCCAGTAGCATGCAGTGATCGTTTGAAAGACAAAGGTAGAAACAGCCCCATGACCGAGAGCCATCCCTGGAACGTTTCCTGACAGATATATTTATTTAGTCTGGCTTGCCAGGCTAAGGCATCACACTACTACAGTTTGCTTTTACAGATCTTTCCTCATTCCAGAAAAACTGCACCAGATAATCTGTTTATCATTTCTTTTCTATTTTACACTAAAAACCAACATGGAATGTTTTTTTCTGTTTTGGAAAAGGTGTTAATATTTTAAAATTTTGTCTTGGAAAACACATCTGAATATAATTTTAATATACTTCTTATAATATAATTCTTCCGGCACTCGTAGAACACAGACACATCTCCTCTCCTCTCCCTCATGTTTATCCTAAGGCTCTCGTCCTGTCTGTCAGAGTGCTTCTCTGCATTCCTCCTAAAATCTCAAGATTGTTATTAAATCATGTATTTGGTTAGCTGATCGTTCAACGTGATTGACAAAAATTTTTATTACAATAAGAACAGATGGGGGGCTTGAGTCGGAAAAGAGTAGAATGCCTTCTCCGGGTCAGGGATGAGATCCTGCCCCAAGTGGAGGAGTTTAAGTATCTCGAGGTCTTGTTCACGAGTGAGAGAAAGCTGGAGCATGGGATCGATAAGCGGATTGGTGCTGCATCTGCAGTGATGCGGACGTTGTACTAGGGATGCACTGATCAACAATTTTTCACTTGGATCCGATTCCAATACCTGGATTTAGATATCTGCCGATACCGATATTATTCTGATACTAGAGGTCTGTTTGCTTTAAAATCATTATTATTATCATTATGGTTGATTTTATGAGGCTATAATAAACTCTTCTCTACAATCATGTATTTGTACTTGAGAAAGCTCTACGGGTAGGAGACCAATAGCACCATGTCTCAAAAGGTAACTTAAGATAAGTATGAGGTCACAAAATGTCCATCCTGAAAAATAAATATGCAACTGTAATGTTTCAAATGCATATTTATTAAATTTCAAGATTGGGTTACAAGATACTAGTGCAATATACACAATCAAAGAAACAACCCTGTCATATAAACTAAACAGCCCAGAGTCCAATCACCACTAGCCAGTAACACAGTTTTTAAGTGTCAAACATGAAATAAAAGGGTAAACTTCCATACTACCAATCCAAATAAAATACAGAGGGCTGCTTCATCCGATCACCAGAAATTAAGTTCACTGACCCTTGTAGCATCAAGAAAGTAAGGTTTTCAAATATTTGAAATAAATAAATAAAATAACACTATCAAAAAACAATGTGTATCTGATAAAGATAAATTCAGTAAAACCTTGTTCGTGTAGATGCAACTAAATAAGGTTTCCAAATAAACATTTTGAAAATAAAGAAATAAGTGCAATACGTGCACTGTAAACATCCTACACAAACACTATCAGCTTTGCAACATTTTCTACTCAATTTGAAACTTGCTATAAAAGCAAGAGATACAGAGGGGTCTAATTGCTGATTAAATGTTAAAACGGTTTGCCCCACTAAAACACACTATCCAATCATGTTCAGCATTCGTTCATCTCCTCACCCTTCTAATGCGCTGTTTATTTTTCTTTTGTCCCCTTTTACAGACTTATCCCCAACAATAGTTACAGGTCCCACGACGTTTGTGAAATTTCCAAGGCATGTTTCACGGGACGTACCGTACCCTCCCTCCTTTCACAGCAACCGGAGGAAGGTGTGTGTGGCGCTGTATCGCGCCGTCAGACTGGAGGCGAATGCGTGTGTATATTTTTGCCATTTGTATCATCATTGTGTTTTACAGGGGAGCCTAAATGCTCCCATACATGCGACCTAAACGATGCAGGAAGTTTTTCAAGCTCCTCTCCTCCTCCGCCCTCACCACCACTGTGCGTTTCTCCTTTGCATGGAACAGGTAGCGCCTCCACCCTCCGCACGGCCGATCTGCAAACTGTGTGGGTGTCAAATTGTAGAGAGAGATCTGAAAGGATCGCGGATTAATGATGATCCATTGGTTGCACCCCTAGGGCGCGGCCATGATGTATCCCAAATGCGTGAACACAGGGGGAGGTGAACATCGGTATAAATGACAAACAAAACTTGGGCGCCACCTGGGTGGTAAGTCCTCAATTATTTACTGCACAACGAGAAATTTTACTGCCAATGGTGCTCAGGCAGTTTAAGTTTCCACGCCTGCATTTTTGCAACCAATGGTTAAAAAAGATTTGTCATTTTTTTCATACTTACTGTAGCCGGCTCTTGTTTTCCGATTGGGTAATATCACTACGAGGTAGGTAAAAGTATGTATGATTAGTGCCGATACCGTATCGGATTGATATTGGTATCTGTCAATACTGAAGGACGCAATATCAGTATCGTATCGGAAGTGAAATTAGTTGTATCGGACATCCCTAGGTACCAGTAAATATTTCTTGTTACTACTACTTTAATGATACTTGGTTTTTGATGGCGGTAACTCAACAATCCTTTGGTTGAAATTGAATTGGTATGAGGCTGAAACGACAGAGTACTGTCCAAGAGAACACCAAGGCTCTCAACCTGAACCACACAGGAAACAGTGACATTCTCAAAGACTATAGAGAAGCTGCCAGCCTTCCCCAGAGCAGATTTCGTACCCATGAGAAGCACCTCAGTTTTCTTAGGGTTAAGTCATAGGAAGTTCTTGGAAAACCATGACCTGAGTTTTGCCAGACATTGGCTGTGTCTCAATTCAGGGTCTGCATCCTTCGAAGGACCCAGTCTACTCGGCCGACGTGGGCTGGGTCCTCCGTCGGCCGAGTAGACCGGATGTTAACGGCTGTGAATTTGTACAGGCCTAGCCTTCATGAATTCCCACCACTCCCTCGGCGAACGTTCCGTCGCCTAGTAACCGTGGAACCGCTGAGCAGAAGGGAGAAGGAACTTTAAACGATGGAGCTCGAAGTTTTATTTGGCTTTTTAATCATTTCCTTGACTGTTGGAGAGCGATGTCAGAGAAAATACTTTCGACAAGCTGAGCCTGAGCAAAGATGTGATAATAGTTTTAATACTTTCTAAGGGTCTTAATTTGACCAAAACCGATTTATCACATTTTAAGACTTTTCAAGACCCAGCGGGATACCCTCTAGTAAACAATTCTCATTTGTAAACAAAAATAAAATTCAAGAGTTTAATGCAGAACTGATTTTATTTAGATATTTATTTTATATGTACATGTTTAATCTGTATTAACCATTTTTTTCTAGCAAAGTAAAAAGCTGTCAAAATTCTCCCTTCTCTCCTGTGCCCTCTGCTGCTCTGCCTCCCTCTGCAGCCTCATGTCCTCCCTGATCAGCTCCAGAAGCTGGTCATCGCTGTCACCTTCCCCTGGATGCCCATTTTCTCCAGAATAGTCTTAACAAATATGTAAGAAAAGCAACTGGAAGAGAAAAGGGGACAATGGGTTATTCCTTTCATGTTTTCGCAGAAAAAAATAAACTGAAACCAGTTTTTAAAATATGAGATGTTATTGTACCTCCATGCCACAGCCGCTGAATACTTTGCTCCAGTGATCATGTGGTCCATCTCCGCCCTAAGCTTAATAAATTCCCTGGTTTTCTCTTGTCCCTAAAATACAAACTCCTATTGAAATCAGGGGGAAAACAGCGTGAGAAGTACGACACCGAGCGGCCGAACATAAGAGCCGAGATCGCAATACAAGCACTTTTACTGTAACATTTCTAACTAGAATAACGTTCATGTATCACAAAAAGTCCTTAACCTAACAATTTAAGTTTATACTGACATTTATGTGCGCAATCCTCTCCAACAGCTCCCGCTTCACTGTCCGCCATTGTTTTTAAAAGTTTTTCTGCCGGCCCGTCCGCAAGGCATCTTGGGAAATGCTACCTATTACACCAGACCCATCCTTCATTCAGGCAAAAAGAAGGCCGGATTCATCGACCACATTTGAAGGAGTCTTCGAATTGGGACAGGCCAGGTCGCGGCGCTGTGACGTAACCGGCAGACGAATCCGGCCGACGTAGGATGCAGACCCTGAATTGAGACACAGCCATTCAGTGAGAGCTACTGGAGGAAGAAGAGTAGACGGAGAGGTGGAAACATAAAGGTGAGTATCATCAGCATAACAATGAAATTGGAGCTTGAAATTCCTAAAAATAGCCCAGAGGGGAAGCAGATAAACTAGAAAAAGAAGAGGGCCAAGTACTGAACTTTGAGAAACCCCTGAAGCGACACCAGATGGAGAGGAAGCAAAAGTCTTCATTTGAATGATGCGAGTCCTGTCAGAGAAATAAGAGTAGATGCCAACCTAGCCAACAGAGTGGAGTGAGAGATTGTATCTAAAGCAGCACTAAAATCCAAAAGAACCAGAATGGATATTACTCCATAATCAGCTGCCATTAGCAAATTGTTAGGGATATTTTGATGAGGACAGTTTCTGTACTGTGATGAGGACGGAAACCTGACTGAAACTGTTCGTTCACATTTAACTCGCAATAATCGATTCGGAGCTGTGAAACTAGTTTTCTCCAGGATTTTTGAAAGAAAAGGGGGATTAGAAATGGGTCTAAAACTATTTAGGTCATCTGGATCAGCCACAGGTTTTTTCAGTATAGGGCTGACTTCAGTGACTGATGGACATCACCAGTAACAAGAGAGGAGTGGATAACAGATATAATAAGTGGAAGCAAGGCCGACACAGAAGTTTTAAGTAAACTAGTAGGGATGGGATCCAGAAGACAAGTGGAAGATTTGGAGCTACGGATAAGGTCTGCAATCTCTGAAGCAGAAGGATGCTCAAACTCTGAGAATGTGGAAGTCAGAGGAAAGTGTTCAACAGAGACAAATACACCAGAGGGAGCCCATACCCTGGTGATTTTTTTTTAATCTTTTCATTAAAAAATGCTATCAGCGAGTTATAAAATTCGACTGAATAACAGTGTGAGGGTAAAGAGTAAATCATGAATAAAACATTTGATAGTGTAGAAGAAACATCTTTTACATTATCTGATTTAGTAAGTATCTATAGAAGATAATAAAATGCTTTCAGGTCACCATCACCAAAAAGAAAATATTTTTCTTCCTTTGACTGGAGGCCTTCATAAACCTGCCTCCTTTCGGTAGTCTGTTTATTGTTAAGTACACCGACACAAGGTCAAAAGATAAAACCCAACATATCAAAAAAAAGTCTAATTCATGATAACCTTTTACCCTGTTAAGCTAGGCATACACTGCGACTTTTCCACTTTTTTAAACCAATTTTCCCCTCGTGCGAGAACCTACAAGATCAGGGCGAATTTTGCGCTGAGCGTTGTGTAGTACACAGGGGGTAACGATACACGATTAACACCACATGACCAGCTACACATCAGCAACCATGAGTTTGCATGGATTTTTGGCGTGCTTCATATTTTGCTCATCTGTTGAAGTGGCGCTGTGAGCTGCTAAGACCCAAAAAGTACCAGAAACGCTCACAGCGCATGGACAAACATGCATCAACATGGCTCGCCAGCTATTTCCCTAGTAACTCATTAACTGCCATTGATGACTAAAGTCTTCATTTTACATCCATCCATTCACTGCCAATGACAACTTAAGTCATCATTTGCATTATTTTTTACTGTGTGGGCATCGGAACGAGCCCCCGCACCGTGAGAACAAACATCTCAGCTCTAAAGCCGATCTTCATCTGCATAAGTCACACGTCACGTGACCAGGAAGCAGAAAATCCATGTGTTGGTAGATCGTTTTGGGCCGTTGCTGTAAAAAACGTGAGGCGCGAACCGGAAAAGCTTCTGCAGATCACAATTTGTCAACGGATTATGAAAGAACGGATAACGCTCGAAACGTGCAAATTCTTCCTGATGTAAGAGGTGAGTCTACTCTTTGTTTTGGTAGTTTTGGCATTTATATCATCCTAGCGTGCAATGTTCTGTGACTCTTAAAAAAACAGTAAAAACGTTGAGAAACGCTGGCAGCGAAGGGCTTTACCGATCAGGAAAAGGCTGGCAGTGAATGAGTTAACACACGTTGGTCGTTCTTATTTATACACTTATTTAACGCACACAATGACAAGGATTGTCAACAACGTGTGTTTGCCATGTTTATGTCAAATTAAACTGATCACAAAACATTGATTTACTTTTTTCTTTCGTCTTCCTCATCCAACCACATAAATCCCTGTGTGTACTTCTACAGTACCCCCGAAGGACAACAGACATCAATAACAACACAAAAAAAGTATGGCGTGTTGTGTAAAAACCGCTATTTTCAGCATATTTTTGGGTTCGACGTGCTGCTACCAGCCGTACAGTGTGAGCGGTCGAGTCACATCAGAGAACTGGGTTGTACAGTGTGAGCTCATAACTCATAAGATTTGCTCTGTGAGGAAGTCATACAGTTTGAGCTGAAGCTGAGTACAAAGCTGTGGGAAGTAGGGGTGCTGAGGGTGCTGCAGCACCCCCTTGTGGATGACAAATCATATGCATGTTGGTATTCTATAAGGAAAAGTATTGTATTAAGTATTTTATAAGTACTGCAGCAATTTCCTAACACACACAAGAAAACATACCAGACTCCATTTCTCAACAGTTTTGTTTCCAGCATTTGAACAGATTTGCATCTCCTCCCCCTGTGCGGGAGCGCAGCTGATGCGCTCCAGCTTCGGCGCAGCGCACGCTCCTGTCCCCACAGATGAGCTCGTCCAAGCGCACTGCAGCAAAAACCCGTCACTACACACCTTATGCACTTTTTTCAGATATGCATTACCTTTTCACTTTTCTCTCATGTTTAACCCTCCCACCGTCCTAATGGGTGTGACCCTGTGAGGAAAGTTGACCATTGCGCAGGGTTGATGGTTTATCCCATAGGGTTCATGTGGCAGGGGTGAGGAGTGGGCACCACCTCACCCCTACCACGTGGATCTTAGGGATGGATTTAAAAATATGAAATAAAACAACAAAATGATGGGCCTGAAATGCCAGACTATTGTTATAAAAGGCTCCATAATATGTATTATACTGGTGTTGTCTAGTTCCCCGTTTCCCATCTGATATTTATAGTTAGATATTTTATAAAAAGAACTGCCTGAACAAGTTATTTAACAATCATTTGTGAACTTGTTCTTTTTTTTGGTGAACGTAAACCAAACTCTCACTTATTTTTACTGATGAATAATAAAGTGAGCTCTCATTCTGGCGTGTGAACGGGTTTATGAACGGCACTCTACAACAGTCTGAGAGCTCCAGATCTCCACGGAGCTAGTGGAACTTTCTAGTGGCGTGCCATACATGACTGATTAACATAATCTTTAGGGCTGCCACAAACGATTAATTTATAAGTCGACTAATGGCAAGTTTTGTTGACGATTAGTCGACTAATTGTGTGTCATGCATTAAAGTACTGCAGCAATTTCCTAATGTTCTGATTTCTCTCACATATGGCAATAAAACATTCTATTTCTGAAGTTTAGCTTAATGCACTCACTACGATGCTCTATATACCCATCATTAGCTTCTAGTTTGAAGTTACGTGCAATCGAAAAATAAAGACAAGTTTATTGCTTATCAAACAACTTTTAATTAACTTTGTTGTTGTAACATGTTAATACAAGTGCTACAATGTCAAATGGGTGTAAGCAACTAAAACTAAAACTAAAAAATGACTTGTGCTCACAAACTGAAATGTATCCTGCTAAAATAGTCACACAAGGTTCTGGTTTACAGTCAGGAAAGATAGCATTTTAACATGTTTAACATGAGAGCAGATGTTCCCAGCTGCAATGAAGATCCGCTCAGATGGGGTGGAAGTGGCAGGGATGCACAGAAAAGATTTAGCCAGCTTAGAAAGTGTGGAGAAACAGCCTTCATTTTCACTCCACCATTTGAGAGGATCATCTCTCTCAGAAATTGCAGCTTCTCAAAGATACACCTTTACTTCCCCTCTCACTATCCGGACCCTTCTGTCCTGGGCATCTTCCTCCTCCTGCTCACTCTCATCACTTTCTGTATCGGACTGAAGGAGAGCATCCAGAGCAGACTTCTCAACTACACCTGAATCATCAGCCCGCTGCAGTTGTGTAAGCTCACCTGTTCCAGCTTTTGCTTCTTCTTTGACAGCAAGCACTTCAATGGTCCCTTGCACTCTGATGACATCTTCAGGAGCCAAAAATGTTAGCTTTTGTATCTGGGGTCCAAGGCAGCTGCAAGAACAACCATGTTTTCTTTCCCTTCAAAAACTGTACAGATGCTTCCCCATCTCTGCTTTATCCCTTTTTCTGCATCTGCACTGGAAGATTTCCCTGAGCTTGTCTGAAATTGGCTGTAGTTTACAGACCGTGTCAGACCTTCGATGACCTGTGGAAGACCTGAAATGGTTGTGTACTGTTGACCACTAAGGTAAACAGAAGCGGTCTCAAAAGGCACCAACCCTTTCTTGAGTTCATCAAGCACTTCTCTGGCTTCAAGTCGATGTACTGCTTCCCTCTTGGTTTCACCTCAGGATCTGAAAGAGTGGCAGCGAGAGGCCATCGCTGTTCGAGGAGTCTGTCTATCATGTGGAATGTACTGTTCCATCTTGTGCTGACATCTTGGATCAGTGAATATTTTTTTCACATTCATTTGCTCCCGTTTCATCTTCAGCTTTGTACTTGCCAGCTCAACTTTGTTGAAGTGCTCCACTAGCTGCCTAGCAGCACATAATGCTCTGCTGATGCAGGTTTCTTTGAGAGCAGTGTTCATTAGGAGCTGGAGTGTGTGTCCAGCACAGCGGATAGAGGCCCAGGCATGTTTCTCTTCAAGCGGTCTCATTGCTGCTACCACATTAGACCCACTCTCATGAACTACTGCTTTAATTTAAACAGGCACGATTTCTAACTAAGCTAAAACCTCTTCAATCCAAGTCATTATATTTGTACCAGTGTGCCTCTCCTCTAGAGACATGGTGGAAAGGTTGAAGCTTTTCATGTTCCAATCGTTGCTCAGAAAATGGCAGGACACACCAAGGTACGCCTCTGTAGCACGGCTGGTTCACACGTCAGCAGTCAGGGAACCATTCACAGCTCTGAGGGCCTGCATTACCTTAAAGATAAAATATATTAAAGTTAGTTCAGATGCCAAATTTATAAATGTTTTTTCAAATAAAGCATGTTAAGATATAACACTGAGAAAAATATATACTATGCTTTAACTAATAATAGTTTCTTATCATAAAATGCATCAAAATCTACTATTATTTTTATGTGTCCAGAGACAGAGACAAAGACACACACACACACACACACACACACACACACCTTCTGGAAGGTCGTCTCGTATTTCTCCTCCATCATGGTGGTGAAATGTGATCGGTCTGGTAGATAGTTTTCATAGTATTCTGGGTTGAACTTCTTGATCACATCTTTAAAACCTTGATCCCTGACCATGGACAGGGGTCTCATGTCCGTTACCAGCATGTTCAAAATGGTCAGGACGTTGGCTTGTTGAGGTGTGCACGTGGTTGGCATTGTAAGAAACTCGTCCATTGTAGAAGAAGAGCGATTTTTTTAGCACTGTAACGTAGCGACATAAAATAAATCCTTATCGTTTGTAACATTAGAGCAAATATGTGACACACAAACATGTTCTAAACATAATAAAATACAGTTGTTCCTAGACCTATGATAGTGTCACCTTACAGAGTTTGAACTCTACTTGCTTCTCATTTGTTTTCGTAAAATGCTCCCAAACCTTTGAGCTCCGTTGCCGGCTCGTCATGATGTGTTATTTCTCCGGTGGTTGTGATTTGAATGCTGAGCTGGATTGCTAATATCGCGCATGCGTGCACAAACCTAAATGTTTTCCATGTCTCTGCTTCGGCACATTTGATTTACGTTGGCTCCTCAGGAGGACATCACATGCTGCAGATGCCTGTTAATCGCTTATTCCTTTAAGTCAGGTGTGTGGCAGCAGTTAAAAAGGCAACATGGAAAACAAACATGCAGGACAGTGTGCCCTGAGGACAGCAGGGTTGGGAAACACCGGACTAGATAAAGCCACCACCTATGATTTTCACATATTATTCATTGAAGATGAGATTTGTTACGCACACAGGTCTCTACACATTTCCATGTACTACTGATCCAATAGGAATGTACCATGCCAGCAAATGGGGAGGGCCAAACTGTGAATAAAAACTAATAGAGATTCAGCCTTTTTGACCATCGACATATAAATATTGGACAGTGGGTTTCCATAGGCTCCAATAACACGTTTTTGAAGAAAAATGGGAGGTGGCCACCACCGCCATTTTGACCGTGTCACAGGTTCCGCCAAGCCCAGACAATTCCACAAAAAGGGAGAGAGGTGGAGCTGAGGGTGGGGCTGTAAGGCTGGGATCAACTGACAACACCCAGTCGAACTAGCTACAAGCTAACCTGAAGCTAACGCGGAGGTGGGAGCTAAGCTAACAGAAGTAGCAACCTAGCTACAACCGGAGTTAACTGTGCACAACACCAGAGCTTCTGAGCCAGAGATACGTCGGGCTGACCGCTGGGTAAAACCGCCACAAGCCGGCAGCCGCACGGCAGACAAGCGCCGCTGCGATCTGAGATGCGCAGAGCTGCCGCTGGGGAGAACCGGGTGGAAAGGTTTCCATCCCAGAGCTCCACAAGTCGGCAGACCGCGCAGCAGACAGAAGCCGCGATCAGACAGAGATGCGTCGAGCTGCGGGGAGGGGAGAACCGGGTGGAAAACAGAGGTCTCCCGAGAGCTACACAAGCCGATAGTCGGAACCCAGCTCCAACCAACATGCTATATTTCAACCCATTTTCTAAAGTGCAGCATTATGTTAAATGCACTGGGTTTTACCCTATTACATTTAAATTTCATGGTTAAACAGTACATGTTAAAATCTAAGCTCAGCTTGGCAGTGACCTAAAATACATAAATATAATATTACTTACCGGGGGTCGCATAGTCTTGTTTGAACCGGTTTTTTTCAATGTTTTTTATACCAATTTAAATCCAACCCACTGAAAAATAATCATTTATGGATGCGTAGCTGTACACAAAAACTACCAGACACAAGAACAGTTTCTTTCCTTCAGCCATTTTTCTCCTGAATCTATAGATTATTTTACCATCCATTTATTGTAGTTTTTAATACTTATTCAGTATGCTTATGGATGTGTGTGTGTGTGTGTGGGGGGGGGGGGGGGGGGAATGTATATATGTGTGTGCAAGGGCGTCGGTTTGTTTTCAGAATTGCTGGGGACAATAACCATACACTTGAGTGGGGTTTAAAAATTGCTGGGGACAATAAAGTAGGCTAGCACAGGGGTCGGCACCCCGCGGCTCCTCCATCCATCTGATGCGGCTCTCTGTACTTTTAAAATAATGAATGGATATTTAAATAAAATGCTTTATATTTTACTGCATTAATTTTACATCTGTATGCCAATTCTAAATGTAAAGATTGTCTGCGTAAACCTGAACAGGTCCAACCCAGTCTTACTGTGAGACCGGGTTGACGCCTCACGCTTGTACGTAATCATATGCGCTTCTGAGCTGCTTTCTGACCTTCCCCACCTACATAGTTTAATTACACCAATCAAACGTGACATTATTATTTTACCATCCATTTATTGTAGTTTTT